AGCAGAATTTTTTAAAGTTTGAATGGAGAAAATCGGCTGAAAATTGAGGGAGTAGTTAATCGGCAAAAAACGTACGGAAGCAACTAGAGGAATAATAAAGAATAAAGAGAAATAGGAACTCAACACAACTAAACTGAGCACCTGCGTAAAAGCAACGCTCGACTTGGACTTCTGTGACGACTCTGTGTAGAGCCTACAGTGTAGCCTGTGTGGCTGACACTGTAGCTCCTGTGTGGGCTGTGTTGGACGTGTGGTTACATTTGTGCACATTGTTGCAAAACACACTTTCACAAGGGTTTGCAGTAGAGTAGATTTAACCCAGAAGTTTATTTCTATTGTAAGTTTGGCAGTTTGTTGCTCTGGTTCAGCTGTGCCAAAAACACAGTGCTAACTAATAACACAAGAACTACATGTAAAACTATGCAGGCGTAAGTTAGCATGTTATATGTTCCTGATAGTTAGAAACAAAGACTAAACAAGTACGGCCTGTTTGGAAGGGTCGCCAAGAGAAATCCACATCTTTCTAAAACACACCTCATAGAAATTGGAGCTGTGCATAATGAAAACCTTGAGTGAGCTAAAATACAAGGTTCAAAGTTCTTTATTTGCTATTCGTGCATAAACCAGCCGTCACACTGGGACGCTTGTGCAGAGCTCTGTCAGTCATAGTGCGCATGTTAGAAAGAGACAGAAATAAACAAGACAGACTGAACTGAACAAGCTGCTGAATCATGGAGGTGTACTCGGCTTATTCACTTATATACAGTTATGTAAAAAAATCAAATAAATGACAGAGTCAACGTGGACACTTATCTTTAAAACTTCATATCAGTGTATCCAGACTATTTAACCTGGATTCTTCTATCAGCCACAACTGAGCTCGATTCAGAGGATCAGACGGGAACTCTGATTGTTCTTTAACTCTGCAGCATCTCCATCTCCCATTTAAAAAATTACATTATGAAAAAAAAATGGCTTTTTCACCATTTTAATATAATAATGTTCAAATATTCATTAACCCTTTTATGCATGAATTATGACAACTTTTTTTTTTAAGTATTTTTATTCATCTTTAGGCATGAAAAAATGTTTTTTGTTTTTTTTAACGTTCTTTTCAAGGATTTTTTTTTCCTTTAAACTAGGGATGCAACGATACCAATTTTTTCAAACCGATACGATACCAATACTTGGATCTGAGTACTTGCCGATAC